GCAGTGAGGTCATTATAACCTAGCCATGTATATATGTTCTGCAATAGATATATATATATATACACATATAAGTATGTATCACGTAGCTTATATGTATACAATATAAACATATATAAAATATAGATATTTATACATGAATACTATGTGAATTTATATGTGTGCATATATATAGTATGTGTATGTTATTATATATATATAGCCCTATATATATATCATCTATAACTGAGGAATCACTATTTATCAGTGGCTTACACCATGGGCATATCCAAGTAGCAACAAAATAGACTGCATCGCCATCTGCTCAGTTGGCTGTGGTATCTTCTACTTCATCCCAGTTAGCAAGTGTTTTTGGGTTTTGGTATACAACATATGAATAGGGGTACCCCCATATTATCAATTTTAGTAAGATTTCTACTATAAACCATCCATTTTGGGATACCCCCATAACTATGGAAACCTCTATATAGACCTGGATTGTCATATGGTTATTACCCACTCAGCGGGATGTACCCCCCCAAGTAGCAACCTCTCCTACCAGTGAACCTACGGTTTTCCTAGCCTCGCATCTGCAATGGACTGAAGTGGTCCAACAACAACAGCGCATCTATGTCAACCATATGGGCCTTGCGCAAAAATACCGTACCCCAAAATTTGATGTTTGTTCAATCATCAGGTTTACCCATTAAAATCAAACCAATTTGGGGGTCCCAATTCCTTTCCTGGGGTCCCAATTTTGGGGTGTTGCCGCCACACATCTCACCTGAAGCGGTTTCTCAAGAACTTCGCCGACTCGCGGCGAGACATCTGGCGAAGCTGCCAGATGCTGATGGTCTCCCACAAGTTGCAAAAAAGTCACCGCCATCAACCAGCATGCTTAAAGGAACCACTTCCAACAGCAACATTGACCCCCAAGCATCACACCTCTTGGCTCAACGGCAATGATTGCAACATTGCGACTGCCATATTCATCTGTGTCCTCGGCAAAAAACGGTGACATGCAGCTCAAAGAACCAGGATATGAGCAGCAAACCCTGCAACAGCACGTGTTGCAAACAAAGACATGACATCATCAGCTCGCCGCCATCGAGCAATATCTTGGACATTTCTCAAACTGACTCAAACATGCACCTACCAGTTAAATATACACATACATACATACATACATACATACATACATACATACATACATACATATATATGTGTACATTTACATACTCATTTACTGTATATATATACATATATATATGTGTGTGTATGTATATATATGTATATGCGCAAAGTGAGTAGCCATCAACACCATGTTTAGATGCTTCAGTTTTTCCACCCTCTCTTTTTGGTGCCCGGCGGAAGGCAGATCTTTGTCGCCTATGGATTCGACAATCCAGCCATGAAGTTGGGGGATGGGCCACAAATAAAAATGTGGTAAAAATGTTTAGCAAAAATTGTATCCCATCCATTTTGAATAAAAATGTTTAGCTGGTCCCAAATGATGGGAGAACTTTAGGATCCAACTTTTTGGAAGTTGATTATGGGCCACACGGCAAGACAAACCCCTTGGCATAGTGCCGCTACGCCTTGCACAGTTGTGATAAAAAGTCCTGCAGCGAAATATCAGCGATCGAAGCAATCAGTCGAGGCTTCAGGTCACAACTGGCGATGTTTTCGAATACAATACACACTCTAAAAAATGAATTAAGATAGGCCCTGCGAGGAGTTGGAAGATTAGTGAAGCCACAGAAAATTGGTTATTTTGAGAGTCCAGGTGAATTTACCAGAGGGTACTACTAAATTGCGCCCTACCCACCCAAGCTTCGCAACCTCTCTAAAAAACGCAATGCACATAACTCTCGCATGAGCAACAACTTCAGCATACTTCACTCTCCTCGGAAAAGTTTTCTTTGAACTGTTCGATGGCATGGCAAAGCCTTGGTCGAATCGTCGAAGCTTCAAGGAAGAGCTTGCAACTGACTAAAACGCTACCTTTCGATTTGAGAATGCTAGCGAATAGGTAGTCCCTCCAAATCTGCTTTAAGAATCTTGAAGCAGGTGTGAACAACTATGTTGCTTTTGGTAGGACTCAGCTTTGCCGGACCGGGCAAAAACAGAAGTAGATAATGCAGCGTTTGATGGGATCTGGAATGAAGTCTGCATGGCGCGGATAGGAAATCTACTCATTTGCTAGGAAACCTCATTTCCACTAACAATCCTTTTATCGAAAAGGTTTCAACTTACCTTGTTCTTGTCTCAACACAGAAGAATCTTCTGAAACAAACGGCAATAAATATCTTCACCGAGCCGCAATTGACCAAACTGCTCCTGACCGAAACATGGAGTCGAAGGGAAAATCGCCAAACCGAAAAGCATGGTTTCTACATGTTTCTACTATCAAATATGGTGGTGAACCCTGCGGT